TCTAACTTTCTTAATTTAATCAAATTAGTTAAACGGGTCTTATATTAAGAACTAAAGGAGTACCTTTTTTTTAATCAAGCCTAAAAATAATTAAATGTCACGTGCCTACTGAGTTGTCAGGAAATGTAAAGTTCTTCCCGTTAAAATACTGCAATTAAATTAAAATTGGGCTGCCTAAATGAAGTAATTAAGATGCCATACTCACATGCATGGTAATGACCATTATTACTTATAAATTATTGTCATTATATATGTACTGCGAGGTTAGTGCTCCACATGGTCACTAGATAGGTTAAAAAACTGGTCAAATTATCTTTTCTATATAACCTTTATATATTAAAATTATAAAGAAAAAGTTAAATTCTATTTTTTTTAATAAACATAAATGGGAAGTTTGTACTTTTTTTTTTCATCCACTACAAAAAGGAGTAAATTTATATTACTAACATTCCATATCAAGGGGTGATGTTTATTTATTCTCACACGTTAACGCGTTAATATAATTGATGTGTTAGTTTGAAACACTGTTTTAATTTTCATTCATCTTCTCTCCCCTAGTAGTGCCCAAATGTTGAACTTTGACAGCATACATGGATCACTTTTCTAATGATTAACAAAAAAATTTTGGTTAAGAATTTTGATGTTGATGAATGTAATAATTAACATAATTTTTATATATCAAATTTCATTTTTAACTTTACATTGATCAGATATTTACATTGCTTCATTACACTGCTTATTAGAATATACAAATACACAGACATTTTCAATAAAATTAATGATATTATATATAAATTGAAAAAAAAAACATCCTTTTTGACCAGGATTTAAAAAAAAAATCTAGCCTAGAATGATACGTCAAAGCATATTGAATACATACACACATATATGTGATCAGCACATTCCATTATATTATATTTTTTTAATCTTTAGACTCCAATTATGAAGAGCACAAATGTGAAAAGGCCTCTTTCTTAAAAGATAAGCATTCACGCCAATGCTATTATATATATTTTTATATATTATTGATATTAATGGTCGGGAGACACCTATTTAAGTTGAGATTCCTATAACGTGGGATTATTTTATGATGTTTGGTGGCATCTAACCACTACCACTTTCAAATATAAAAAATTGGCTAGAGTTGCATAATAATGAGCACCAACTGATCGATAACTCCAATGAACTAAACCATATAATATATTTGAATAATAATAAAAAAAAAAGCATAATGGTGCCCTAACGTTGACTACCTTTGACCACATGGGTCTATTTTCTAATAAGGAACAATAGGGAAAATGCTTCGAAAATGCTTTTAGATGTGAATGCAGAGAAAGAAAGTATGAGAAGTGATTAATAATGCTAAAATGCTTTTAAATGTCAGGATAGGTGGATTTGCAGATCTAACTTTATATAGAAAAGTAGGTCTTCATGTAATTGTTCTAGATTACGAGATCACATATGCCTTATGTTAAATATGTTAATCAGTGTTATCAAAAAAAAAAAAATGTTAATCAGTAAAATTAAAAGACAGGGCCCTTCCTTGCCAATGGAAAGGAATACAATTTGAAAACATGTGCCTCTGATTTTTCACACGACATAGATATTTGTTGAAAACATAATAATGAGCACCAACTGATAACTCCAATAAACTAAACTATATAATATATTTGAATAATAAAAAAAAAGCATAATGGTGCCATAATGTTGACCACCCTTGACCACATGGGTCTATTTTCTAATAAGGAACAATAGGGAAAATTCTTCCTCAGCGACGGAAAATTCCATCGCTAGTTACCAACGGAAATTTTTTGTCGCCGTGTAGCTTTACCAATTGAGCTGTAATGAACTTGTTAACTTATTATATAAAATTAAATATATAATATTATTTTACACAAACAATTATATAAATATACATATATTATTAAAAACTAAAAACATACTATATGATAATTTTAATCATAACTATTTTAATAAAAAATAATTTTTAAATATTTGTTTTACTATTTGTTTTATAATGTTTTATTTTTAAAAAAATATTTTCAATATAATTTTAATTTCTAAGGACACTAATTTTGAATTTTAAATCATAAATAATTTTTTTATAGATAATTTTTAAATTATTTTTTAATTAACATTGATAAGATATACAATTTAATTATATATGTATTATATTACATTATATTATATTATCTATATGTGTTTTATATATTTGAAGAAAATCATTTATAATTAGTCAAAAAAATCTTGTTATTGAAAAAATAACTACTATAATAAAATCTAATAAATTATTCTATATAAAAAATTAAATAATTTGAATAGTATGATAAACAATATTCTCCTACTTGTGTACATATCTTATATAATTTATTTTCTTAAAATTCTTTGTACAAACTATTTGTTTTTGTATTGTAGACCAAAATCAATTTATATCATAGGTATTAATTATATCATAATTAAATTTTATTTTTTAATAATTGAAATTCAAAATTCACTTCAATATTAGTTTGTGTTCATATAAATTTATTTTTTAGTTTTGAATTTCTATCATATATTATATATTTCAATATATTGTACATATGATAAAATTATTTCTTTCTTATATCAGTCTGTATAAGAAAGTTATTAATATTCTTATTATATTTTTTAATTATTATTAATAATCAAGAGGAATTTATTTTAACAAAATATAAACAAGTTTTCTAAGAAATTGTCTTTCTATTTTCAGTATATACATAATGATGACATGAATGATGACGATATCTTCATTAACACCAACTCCACAAATATATTAATTTATTTTATAATTAAAAATATTTTAAAATCATTATATTCTTAATTTTTATTATATAAATTTTTGTAAGATTATAATTTAAAATAATAAAATTTAAAATTAATGACGGATTAGCGACGGAATTAGTGATAAAAACTTTTGTGACAAACAATTTAACTACAGAATTAACGACGGAAATTTCTGACAGAAAAAATTCCGTCGCTAAATATTTATTGACAGATTTTTTAACGGATTAGTGACAAAATTTAGCGATGGACAGAAATTCTGTCACTAATCCTTTGAAAAAATTAGCAACGGAATTTCCGTTGTAATTCTGTCAGAAATTAGCAACATAATTTGTTTCCTTCACAAATTCCGTCATAAATGAGTGACAGAATTTGTTTCCGTCTCAAATTCCATCACTAATCAACTGTTTTTTTTGGTAGTGTTACTATGCTAAAGCGAGCATAAACTGACACATGCATTGATAATACAAAGATTCATAAACTTTAGAAAAAAATTCTCAATAAAGGTAAAAAGTTACATATACTTGGCAAGACAACATATTTATTTATTCTAATTCATGAATCACATCTAACTCTAAATTCAAATGTCTTGCAGGAATAATGACACTTGTATTGGTTGAGGTAGTAAAATCAAATGGAGTGGGAGGCACCTTTAATTTGTCTACTTCTCCTTCCAGCATTTGTATCACTGTTTTCATGGAAGGACGGTTTATTGAATGCCACTGGATGCACTAAAGTCCTACAATTGCTAGCTTTTTAGCAATTCTAATGTCAACCTCATCATCTATATGAATGCTTATATCTCCTCCTTCAACCAAATTGTGGATCCATTCTGGGTATAGAACTTGAACAGTTTCTTTATTCGTATCAACATTTTTCCTTCCACCAACCATTTCCAGGAGTAGCATCCCATAACTATAAACATTTGATTTGTATGATACATTTCCGAAATTTCGAGAGAAAACTTCAGGTGCAATATATCCTGGGTTCCTCTTGCTGCTGTCATTGACACTGTACTTTAATTTTTAGAGCACAATTTAGCTAGACCAAAATCAGAAATTTTGGGGGTGAAATTTTCATCTAATAACACATTCTGAGGCTTGATATCAAAATGAAGAATTCTGTAATCACAGCCTTGGTTAAGATATTCAATCCCCTTTCCTATGCCAAGAGCAATTTGTTGCAGCTTGGACCATCCCAGGAAATTTTCTCTGTTATCTGGTGAAGATATGAAATTTTGGAGGGAACCATTTGGAAGAAAGTCATAAACAAGAGCACGGTGAAAACCATCAGCGCAACAGTCCAGCAAACGAACAACATTGATGTGATGAATTTTGCCGATTGTGCCAATTTCATTAATGAAGTCTTGTCCATCGCTGTCCGAATTATTGAGTACTTTGACAGCCACTTGAATTTCAGAAGAAAGCTTACCTCTGAAAACTGTTCCATGGGCACCTTCACCTAATTTGTGCTTGAAACTCTGTGATTCTTTTGATATCAGCGTAAGAGAATCTAGTAGGTTTAAGTGCCTCGTAGTCCTTCAAAAACATTTCAAGTCTGACTTGATCATCTCCTTTGTTCTTGAAGTAGCAGCATATGTAGAAGCACACAACGAACAACAAAACCAGGACAATGGAACCTGGAGTTATAGGAGCACAACAAATGAACATTTAATATCAACCCGAGCAACATCACAAAGCCTAATGAATTAAAAAAGAAAAAAAGAGAGGAAAATCATAGTCTACAGTCACACCTGTTCCTGCTCAACCAATTATGAGTATATTGCTGGATTTTGGTTGGTTCAGTTTGAGTGTTAAGGAGTTCCCCTGAAGATCCACTACGGATATTGGCGAACGTAACCGTATCATGGGGCAGGAAACTAGGTCCCCAGACAGAACATTTTCTTGGGGGCCAAAAGCATGAATCGGGCAGGAATCGGATCCAGAGGAAGAACAATTGAAGAAAGTAACATATTGGGGGGGGGGGGGGGACATGGGGATAATGGTACTCTAAAGGATAAATATTGGATTCATTGTAGAGACGGCGTTGTAGAAATAGTCTGGGAAGACAAAATTCTGGATCCTCTACTTCTAAGATGTGGGATTTCTTATCTATTTTTTTGACAAGGAGACTGACTCCTTCAAGAGCAGGAATAGAAGGAAACTCAACCATTAATGCGGAGTCATTATAATAAAGACCAAATGGATGAAGAGTTTGATGATGAGATACCTGCTGGTTCTCACCTTTCCCTTGTTTCAGAAGTATCACCAGCAACAAAAATCTGCCCCACCAAAACATTGTAATGTGAAACTTGGATTGAGATTCCTATCTATCTATATGAGTAAGTAGTGTTGAGATGATGAAGGGAACGCCGATAAAAGGAGTGAGCAGCGAAGGATTTTCAACATCTCCCGCCGACTTAAATGCGAAATGCCTTACCACACATGGGAACCGACATGTTTTTATATGATCTTCTAATTGATAAAATTAATGAAACAGAATTTGTGTTTTACATTTAAATTATAGTAGCATATCTTTTCTGAAATAAAATAACTTCAAAAATGGTAAAGTTATACTAAATACATCATTTAAAAATAGGTGAGCCCAAAAAAAACAAGAAGAAGAAGAAAAAGGAAGTTGAGTGATATAAACAAGAAGCATGGGATCGAATTGAGAATAAAAGGCTAAGCATTCGCAAGCAACTAACTCAGCGATGGGAATAGAGAAAGGGTTATTGTGTTGGTGCCTAGTGTTGTGGCTTTCTCCGCTTCTAAGGAACGGAGTTCTGAGTTCTGAACTTGACTACGAATTCTGTACTTCTCGTTGCGGCAATTTCACAATTCCGACTACGGTATGACCCCCTCGACTGCGGCCACCCCGACTACGAGCTGACCTGTGAAAACGACGTCCCTCTGATTCATGTGTCTAATGGAACATACAGAGTTCTGGGAATAAACTACAAAAACTTCACAATCCGACTCGTAGATGCTGACATTCAGAAAGGAAACTGCTCTTCCCTTCCTTTCTATTCCTTATCCCTATTTGATTTCGATAATGGAAATAGCAGAAATCCCTACAGAGCTTATGTTGTACACGGCAACAAAACAGAATCTGTATTATGCGATCAGGTGGGGTACATGAAATGCAGCGATGCAGTGAGGGAGGACGGAGCGTATGTGGATGCGGCCCATTGCGTGAAAGAAGGAGGCCATCTTTATGCTGTGGTTGGAAACTTGCTAGCTCACCAGTTTAAACGTCACTGTCGTCTGAAATCGGTGACCCTCATTGCCGCAGATCGGGAGTCAGTGGTGCCTGGTGGAGTCAAATCCTACGCTGATATTCACACACTGCTTTCCTCTGGATTTGAACTTTCATGGTGGCCACAAGGTTGTGACCTTGTATGTCAACAAAACGCCGCCTGCTATTTCATCTATGAAACTCAAGATCTGCGATGCCCGCCTAGTGATGAGGAATGTTCTTCCCCTCTCGGATTATCTTCCAGTTGCCGTAAGTATCTGATTATTGCATCCTGTAATCTTTAATTTACTTGGCCATAGTACCATACTATCTCATGTTTTTAAACATAAGAACTAGTTGATTAATTTAAATAGATTAAAAAAATAAATTAAGTTAGTTATTTATAATAAATAAGTATTATTTTTTCTAAAATATCCTTACTAATTAAGTGTATTGGTTAGAACTATTATTATTAGAATAACTATCTTAGAAATAAATAAATAAATAAATAAATAAATATAAGAGACAAGTGAATTGGAATCTCATATTAAAAATAAAAATCAAAATCAAATAAGATTTTATATCAAAGACCGAACCTAATACATGGGTCTACATTTGGTGCTCATCACCTAATGAGCAATCTGGGCCCTCGAGATCTAATTTGGACGGTCTAGATTTAATATTTTTAAATAATTATTTTAAAACAAAAAATTATATTTTTAAAAAATAATAGTTAAGAGCTTATTTTTATTTTTTATCCTATACTTATTAAAATAATTATTTAAAAAATAAAAATAAAAATAAAATTAAATATGGACTGTCCAGATTAGATGAGCATTGGGTGCTTATCAATGCAAATCCCTAATGCATGATATGCTTCTTCATTCGCAAAAATGATTCATTTGGCAGATGACTGTTAGCTCTCGAAACATCCTCCAACTAATAGTAAGATGCCAACAAAAAAAATTTAATTCATTCAAAAATTTGCAAACATAAAAATTTAGCTCTAAATTTATAAATTATACTCCGGCCCTTTTTTTGATAAGATCCAAATTCTGAATTAGTTTAATCCTTTTATAAAATTTTCTTCAAGATTGTTTGAATATTAAATGTGATTTTGTTAATTTTGCCTCTAATTAATTTTTTATTATCTCTCTTCATCCTTTTCTCATACTACATTTTTTTTTTATCATTTATCTCATTAAAAGTATTTTTCTCCTCTTTTATTTGTCATTTATTAAATAAGAAAAAGTTCAATCGTTACATATTTATTGCTTTTAACTAATTTAAACTGTTTTTTTGAATGGTATAATTTGGTTAAAATGATCTTATATTAGTTCTTATAATTTGATCAAATTTTAATTTTGATCTTATAATTTCAAATTATTGGTTTTATCCATGTAGAGTTATAAAGATTTGATATGAGATTAACATACAGTCACTTTGGTACTTTTTACAAGTTTTAGTTTTGATCTTTATATTTAAATTCAGACAAGTTCAAGTTCCAAGGAGATTATAGGAACCAAAACCAATAATTTAAAATTATAGAGATTAAAGATAAAAATTGATAAAAACCAATAATAATTTAATTTTGTTTTTTAAATTTTTTTGTAAAATAAAAAATATCCAACTATATATATATTAGATAATTAGAAAAAAAATATTTTCTTGCAACATAATTTACTTCTTTTCTTTTTTTGCCAACGTGCAACATAATTTTTTTGTTTTTGGGGTGAAGAACGTGCAACATAATTTACTTAACCGATGCTTTACCCTCAACTGAAATAAGATTAAACAACTTGCTAGCAAGAATTAATTGTTCAAAATAAACCTAAGTTAATTAACTTTTAATGAATTTATATTTACATGGTTTTTCTCCTATCTTTAATGTAGGATCTAATTAGACAATTAGTGTTAATCTTAAATGTAAGACTTATTTTATATTTGTATTATTTTTTTCAAATTAACCCTATTAATGTTCTCTTAACAATAATTAGATAGGAGATGGAAGAACGGAATTAAGAAAGATGTTTAAAGTATTTTAGAAAAAACATATCATATTAATTAAATCAACTAAAATTTTTAATCTACTTAAATTAGTTAATTAGGTCTTACATTAAAGATTAAATTAGTACTTTTTTGACCTGACTGTAATCACCGAATTTTGAGTTAAAATCGAGTTTTATTGTTGGGTGATGCAGGGCTGTCAAAGGTGCGCATACTAGCTGAAGGTAACATTACACGGCGTTTTTGGTGAAAAGGATTAAGAAATTTTATTCCGTTTTATTATTAATTGATTCTTTTTTTATTCTATTTTATTATTAATTGATTCTTGTGTTAAACAGACACCCGTCATCTACTTAAGTTATCAAGTCTCTTAATACATGCACGTTAATTATCAAAATTAAAAGATGCGCTATATTCCCATTTTCTCCGTTTACAAATTATTTTTACAAATTTTAATTTTAAAAATATAGAGGATAAAGGATTTTTTTATTTCAAGTTTGTAATGCATTTTATCTTAACTATTTTCCCTTTTTGATAAAATGTAGATATGTGGTATTAATCTGTGAGTGCGAGGATATATATACAAAATAAATTTGTAGCATTTGATTGAAAAATTATTTTTTAAAATATTTTTATGACAAAAATGGGATGAGTACGTCTCTTGAAAAGTCATTTTATATTTTATATTTAGTATACAGAAAAATCACCGGATATACTATTTCTTATTTTATTCAGTGACATAAGTGGTATTAGCATTCAATAAATCAATTTTATTTTAGTTTCTCCCCATCTTGTTTTATTTTGCATTGGAAAAAATTTATCATATTTTTTGGCCAAAAAAGTCTTGTACTTTCAAAGATTTATAGAATGCATATGAAAACGCATATTGTGGTCATTTAATTAATTTGGTATTTTAAGTAGAAATCCTTGGATCTCCCAAATTTATAAAACTAGTGTAGTTAAGTTTCGTGCCTCATATGAAATCCTGTTTATTGTTCTAACTAATTTTAATTAATTATTTATTATTCACGAATTAGTTATTTTAAAGCTTATAATGTAAACCAGCGAAAATATTAATTAAAATTTTATGTCAACTTTAATACTTCTAACTATTTTTATTATATGTGTGAATAATTAAGAATCACTTATATTTGAGAGTCAAGGAAGGGGAAAAAATGGTTCATCAATTTTTACGGTAGTTGTGTTGTTTTATTATGCTCACCCTTTTTGCAAGAAATGCATGTCCCACGATGATTGGCTGTTTGTTTGATCTTTTTCTTACAGACAATATCTACGGTATTTACCAAGGTACGGCTCTATTATCTCCTCCACCTTATTATTTAGACAAGTCTTAACTCATCATTCGTTTTTTTATCCCTGTAGTTTCCTAACAACTTCACAGATTAATGTTCTGGGAGTATTTATTATGTTTTGAATTCATTGTGGGACTAAAGATTAATTTAAATTTACTCCTCTAGTCCTAAATATAAGAACTACACTATAAAATGAGTTTTATATTTAAAACCGGATGATTATTTTCCTTCTACGTACCTCCAGTTTTATTGATCCAACTGACCAGTTCTATATGGCCTGTATGGGAATACTCATGCGCAGGTCTATTAAAAGTAGTGGGGAAGGTGTATCCAGAGATATACAGTCTTGATAGCCACTTTAGCAGATCAAATATTGCAAGGCCATTAGGAACAGCCACTGGAAGATTTGTTTTGCCATTCAACACAGCCAGATTTTTATTTGGGATCATATTCCTAAGTGCGTTGTTGATTTATACGTTCCGCAGAAGACACTTGTCAATGCATGAAAACATTGAAGATTTCATAAGACTTCACAACCTCCTTCCATTAAGGTACTCCTACAAGGATTTGAAGACAATTACTGAAGGATTCAAATACAAGTTAGGTCAAGGAGGCTTTGGAACCGTATACAAAGGCAAGCTTAAGAGTGGGACTAACGTTGCTGTCAAAATGTTGGGTAATACCAAAGCCAATGGCCAGGAATTTGTCAATGAAGTGGCAACTATTGGGAGGATACACCATTTTAATGTGGTACACGTTGTTGGATTTTGTGTTGAAGGAACAAAGCCTGCTCTTATATATGAATTCATGTCCAATGGCTATTTGGATAAATATATTTTTTCCAAAGAAGCAAGCGGCTTCTTAAGTTATCACAAAATATATGACATATCTTTGGGAGTGGCACGTGGAATTGCCTACCTTCATGGGTGTGACATGCAAATATTACATTTTGATATCAAGCCTCACAACATCCTACTTGATGACAACTTCACTCCAAAAATTTCAGATTTTGGACTAGCAAGATTGTATTCTATGGATAATAGTATTGTCACTTTGACTGCAGCAAGAGGAACAATAGGATATATGGCTCCTGAATTATTCTACAAGAATATTAGGGGAGTGTCTTACAAGGCTGATATTTATAGTTTTGGGATGCTTTTGATGGAAATGGCTGGTCGAAGAAGAAATTTGAATCCACATGTTGAACATTCAAGCCAACTTTACTTTCCTTTGTGGATTTACGACCAATTTGATGAAGAAAAGGATATAGAAATGAAAGATTTGACAGAAGAGGAAAAGAATTTAGGAAAGAAGATGTTTATAGTGGCATTATGGTGTATACAATTAAAGCCTGCAGATTGCCCTCCAATGAATAAGGTAATAGAAATGTTAGAAGTAGATGGACTCCAAAGTCTTGAAATGCCACCAAGACCTTCTCTATATCCCAGTGAGACCGTTGTATTGGATGATACACTTGACTCTGACCTAATAACATCCACTATCTCTTTACGTTCTCATAGAACCAACAGTTCGCAATTGAAAAGGAAAGTCGACGCTAGTAATGTCTTCAACTAAGCAATCTGTAGTTGATAACAACACTGCTTGGTTAGTGCCCTGAACTGTGTTTTGCTAATTGTTTAGCATTTTAGTTTCGTGTCTGATAATGA